GTGTTTGTGTGTGTGCGTGTGTGCGTGTTTTTGTTTTCGGCGGACACCCCATGTTGGTTGGTGCTAAGGGACAATAAAGATGACACCAAGCATTTTGGGGGTCCCTACTGTTAGTGGCTTGCTTCGGGCGGGATCCCTTATGCCCTCGAACTTCAAGGGAGGACAGTCTAGTTGATAAACATTTAAATCATAACCTTCATTGTGATGGCAAGGATAGTGTTTGTCGCTTTACACAATTCCAGCGATGTCATTATTTTGGAAATAAAATTTAAACAAAGAAACATCAGTCTCAACATGAGCATTGTTTCAAGAACCCGTTTATATGTCAACCTCCTTTCGGCTGTTTGAATCCCAAGGGCATGAGAGTCTAGGTCCCAGCCCCCCGGCCCCATGACGCGATTGCAGTCAGAGAGCAGCAGGTATCAGAAAGGACCTGCGGACCAAACTTCCAACGCGGGGCACAAAGGGTCCGAGTGCGTGGGGCTGTCTTTCGTGGGTATCCTTTGTGGCCCTGCCAAGGGGAAAACCGACTTGTTTGGGGTCCCCCGTTTGAGATTGGGTTTTGGATTGGGGTTTGGAGAAGGATGTGTGTCAATCAGACATGTCCGAATCCGCAAATATGAGGTACTTGGACCTCTGGGTATGCTCGAAAGTGTCTTGTAGGCTTGATCGAACTTCATTTAGGACCATTTGGTTTTTCGATCCCTGGAAAACATACACATATTTCCAGTAGTGATAGATTCCCTTTAAAACCAACAGGGGCGGGGAAAAACAAACAAACAACTATTCTCAAGCAAAAGTTTAGGACCGACGTATTGCAAGCATCCGTTGGCGCCATGCTATTGCGGCCAGGTTGCGGCCAGACTGAAGCAGAGAACGGTGCATCGTGTTCACTAGGCTGGAAAAATCGGACCGCAGCAAAAAACATGTTTTGCTTGGTTGGTGGAAAACAAAGGGAACCCCCCCCAAGAAAAAAGGGGGGAGCTAATTCTGGGAAAGTTCAAAAGGACACGTTGGTTCGGTACACCTCTTGGCGAACAATCGTGTTGGAGACATATCCGGGCAAAGTCAAAAAGCGTCTAAAAGTCCAATGTCAAACTGCCCTCTGGCTGGGCTCCAAGTCTTCCCACTTGGTATATCAAGCGAACGTTGCTTTATCTTGCAAATCCCCACTTCATAAAAGTAACCACGCTGGCACCAACAATTTGTTGCGCACATTTCAAATACTGTGATTTTGTTGTCAGCATACCTGGTCACCCTGCCTCCTTGATGTTTCCCCTTTGCGGGGTCCCGATTTTCACCACCTTTGGTTCTGAAAATCAAGGGTGGCTTGTTGCCTAAGGCCCAGGTACCCGGCCAAGTCCTAGGGTGGCACCAGGAACATTGTAAACCCCAAGCCTCCCAACCAAAAGGTGAGTCACAATCAAACCCCGGTACAAAAATGGTCCAAGCCCAGAACCATGTTCTGAATTAAGAAGGCGGACTTGCGCAGCAATTTATGGCAAGGGGATCGTCCCTTACTAACCTTCATCTACCCAGGTTTTGATTGTGGCTCACCTGAGCATTGCCTTGTAAATGGTGGGTTCCCTTTATTTTGGTGTAAAAAGCCATGTTTCAAATGGGCAAAAGGTATCTTTTAAGGAGCCATGTGTAGTTTGGGGTGGGTTTAGGGTTTGTCTCAGGTTCCTGGCTAACAAGGGCTCCGGGTTGGCTTTGATTGTGACTCAGGTGGGCACGCAGGCATTGACAAAAAAAATGATGCCAGGCTCCCTCACAGCTGTTGAGTTCTCGCCACGAGTTTTCAAGTGACTTGGTGGGTTGCAGCAAATGATTTTAGTTTCTGACCCTTGCTCATGTTACCGTTGCCGCAAGACGTGGGACAAATTGGGTGATCCCCAGCGCCTCTAACCGATGGACCCCACCCATATCCTCAGCTTCACTCTTTGCGGCTTTGGTGGCTTGGAGGTAGGGGATCAAATCCCCAAACCAATCCGAGGAATAGATACTAAACCCCTCAGAGAGCCTGACATGACCGACTGGGCTTCGTTGTCGGCTTGCCTTAATGGGCCATGATAGGCACGGCAACTATCTTGAAAAACTTCAAGTGTTTCCAGCCCGCAGTGGCAGGTTTGTTTGGCCCAGCTTTATCGCCTTACAACTGGCGCTGGTCAATACCATAGCTAGCTAGGTCATTACCCGAAAGAAAGAGGTCATGACCCCATTTTTAAAGGGTCATGGAGACTCTAGGTATATAATCAGCGCGCTTACATCCTTTAGCTCGCTTCCTGAGTGGATTGGCAAAAAAGTCCGAACGGTTTATCTACCACCAAAATCAAAAAGGTCAAGGCTCAGGAACTCAGGAAGCGAGTGTTCGGGGACGTTCTGCGACCCCAAAGTTTCAATTTGTTTAACTGCCAAGCCCGCGGCCGGCCTGGCCCATGTCGTCGGATCTGCAACCAAAAGTGCTAAGAGAGCCGGAAAAGGAGCTGCGGCCAAACAGCACGTGGCACGGTACAGAGTAAAGATCCACATTAGCTGGGCAACGCTTCAGCGTTAAGCGTCTATATCTAAAAGGGTTTTTTGTATTACACCCTGGGAATACACCCACTGGGTATTGACCCCATTTAGGCACACGACCGGATAAAACCGTGTGATTTTGAACCAATCCTTGGTCATTTCCCAAGGGTGTAATCTCAGGGTGTAATACAAAACCCTCAGATTATGGCCTTGACTAATCTTGCTCCTGGGACCTCGGCTACCATGCACGACATGCCAGGCGTTTTCGCTTGTCAAATAGAAGGTCTGGACCAACTAAAAACAACTCCCAAGTTGGCTTCCTGCGGAAACCTCAAGGGCATGGCTACTACGCAACACCTGAGATGATGACTCAACACGGGTAAAACTGCTGCAAGCACAAAGGGTCCAGCATGCGACGAAAACGAGTGCTTGTGCCATGGCAGTTTGGACTAAACAGTTCTTAGCTAACAATGAACACGACGAGAAAGGCAAACACGGCAACTGGAGCCATCCGACAATGGTAAACAAAAGCAAGTCATTAACTTAGCACCTCCAGGAAAAGAGAAGGCTTCCTTCGATGAAAGCCACTGGCTTTCCACCCCAGACTGCACGCCCACACAAACTCACGCACACGCACACGCACACGCACACGCACACGCACACGCACACGCACACGCACACGCACACGCACACGCACACGCACACGCACACGCACACGCACACGCACACGCACACGCACACGCACACGCACACGCACACGCACACGCACACGCACACGCACACGCACACGCACACGCACACGCACACGCACACGCACACGCACACGCACACGCACACGCACACGCACACGCACACGCACACGCACACGCACACGCACACGCACACGCACACGCACACGCACACACACGCACACGCACACACACACACACACACACACACACACACGTGGCACATGGGATTGCCCCACCAACTCAAACGATTGAGTTGTGGATGACTCATGCAGCGGAACAACGCAAGCACCAGGCTGAAGCACCAAGCAACCAAATCAAACATCAAGAGCCAAACAGGTGTGACTGCCGAAAACATCATCCCAACCAATGAATCTTCATATCTAACAAAATTTGTTGCTTCAGCCTCAGAAAAAGAACACAGGAAAACTCAAGAAGTGCGTCATCTTATTTCCCACCTAGACAGTGCACCTTTCGTTCTGGCCATGAACCTACCATGTTTGATCTGTCCAAAGGGGCATAATTTCCCTTCCCCCCCTTGTCCCAACAAATCGAATTGTTCCCCACCAAAGGCATGGCCCCGATCCAGAGCTCCGTTCAAGTTGCACCCCTGGGCCGGTGACTGCCACGATGCTGCTGAAGAAGAAGAGGTACCAGGGCCTCAACCCAGTTCGGGATTCCACCCGGCGAAAAAGTCTGCTCACTTCCTGAGTGGACTAGCCGACGTTCATCACTCGTGGTTGGCCACTGAAATGATCTTCCCACAAGGTTTTTTCCCCAGTCCCCTTTCTTTGCCACTGAAAGTCCCACACTTTTTATGTTCTAAGCTGGCCTTCCCAAGTTTCAAGACCCTCTGAGTGGGTCTACAGGTTGCGAAGGAGGAGCCCCAACGGGAGGCTGGGAAAATCTAGTCCAAACAACTTCTCCCAAGGGCCGTGGCCTCTTTGACAAACATCATTCCACAACAATTAAACATCAAGAACATACAAAATTACATTAACATCTATGTCGCTATGTAGATGTGTGTGTATAGTTGTGTGTATATGTGTAAATATATATATATATATATTTATATATACATGTATATATATATATATGTGTATATATGTGTATATATATATAAATATGTGTATGTATAGTATATATCTATATATATATATATATAGGTATCTGTGTGCACATTGAACAATACATATGCATATGTATATAGAATTGCGTGCCTGTGCTTCGCAGAATGCCGCTCGTCCGATGGCGTGGGGCAAAAAGCCATTCGCAAACCAGCAAGGCAACGCCGACTCGGACAGAACATATCAATCCTGCTATCCCCCGATTTGCCCCGGCCGATCTGCCATGAGCATCTTTTTCTCTGTCTGTCTGTGGGTCGCCGGCGCAAGTTGTGAGTGACACGTGGGTCCATCTTCAAAGAAATGGGGTGTCACAAAATGAGGCCCTAGGCGCCTAAAAAAGGTCTAAATGAGGGACATTGAATGGACGCTTTCACTTAAAACCGCCTAAACAAGTCTCCAACTCATACACAGCTAAACACACCCACGTCACACCTGAGCTCTCAGCCATCACGGCCAAAGATCTGCCCGTCACCGCTGTTGCTGTTTTTTCGGTGACCGGCATCGCGTCGCTCGGCTTTCATTTGAAATCAACATTTTGGGTGACCTAAATGGGTTCTAAACGCAAGTCAGAACCCGTTTAGGGTCCCCTGACAATTGCAAATGCTCTTGAAACTTCACATGTCTGGAGTCAGAACCAATCGCGGCACTCCTCCAAGAACTTCTCCAACTCATCCTCATCCTCACCTCTCAAAATGTCCTCCGAGACATTTGGGAGATCTTCCAGGCCTCCTTCCTCCGCCTCCGCCTCCGCGCCTTCCGCGCCCTCCGCGCCCTCGCCGCCTTCGGCGCCCTCCGCGCTTTCGCCACCTTCGCCGCCTTCGGCAGCGTCCACGCCTTCCATGGCCGCGCCCGGTATTTCGTCGCCAGCGCCCTGAGTGGCGCCCTCAGCGACCTCCGCACCGCCGCCTTCGGCGGGGTCCACGCCTTCCATGGCCGCGCCCGCCACTTCGCCGCCTGCGCCCTGAGTGTCCCCAGCGACCTTCGCGACCGCCACCTCGGGCTCGCTGAGCTCTGCGAGTGCTTCCTGATAGGGCAGGCCTTTCGAACTGCCGGAAAACCAGAAAGAAATGCTCGTCTGTCATTGCAAACAAAACACAAGTGGTTGAACAAACAAAGCAGCCCCACCTTCCATTTGCTTAAGTCCCCTGGAGAAAAACAAGAAGTGCTCGTTTACCTTCAAGACCAACAGGGGCAACTAACATAAATCTTCCTGAACACATGGAAGCCCATTTAACCAACTCACGGTGCCTGAGACGCAGGCGCAACATCCACAGGCACACCTGGCGCGGGCGCCGGGTCTCCGTACAACACCCGGCGCCATGCGGCCGTTGACGCCGCGGGCTCTCCCGGCGGCGGCACATCCTGGGAGGCGTCCATGATGACGTTGGTCTCAGGCGCCGGCCTAGCAATACGCCAGGTACGTAGGAGCGTACCTTTTTGGAGCGGAGTGGGGCGCCCTTTGGAGAGTTTGTGATACAAAAATGACCCCAAAAAAACGCAGCTTTGGACATCCCCCCATTTTTTGGAGACACCCATTTTGGCTTGTGCCCTTGGAACTAAGAAACAAACCCCCTATAGGAATTTGCCAAATCCTTGGGTTGGTGTTAGGACACCTTCCTATAGAGAAGAGACTGGAGCTTGTCTACCGGAGGGAAGCTAGCCCTCCGAGAGTGGAAAGCTGGGGCCATCGACGGAAATGACTTTGGCCTGCACAACGCATTTGGGCAACCGCCTCTTCTATTGGATGGTAGCCTTCAAAAGGGATGACTGCAATGACAATGACTTGCAAGCCATCTACAATCCACACAGTGTCATTATGTTGTACACGCCAGAATATTTGCCAAACATGGCCCTAACTCACGACACAAAAATCATTAAAGCTGGCAGGATGCAATATGTCTCATGTCAGGTACTGTCAAATGATTGCTTTTTCTTAAGTCTAGCAAAAAACTGTGTAAAGAATGCAAAGGACGGAGAAACGCGCCGATTTTGATGCCTCACTAGTGCATAGGGACACAAAAGCCAGGTCAAAACCTTTGAGTGGTTGATACTCAAATGTGTCCGAGCAAGAAGGAACTGCTCTGCCAAAAGGAAGCCAACCCCATTTTTGTGGGACTATCTCCGGATCGCTGACACATGTCCATTTGAGGGCAGATGTTTGCATTCCGGTTTCAAAAAAAAACAGGTCAGTCAGTCCCAGCCTCTCTGTCTCTGGCTCTTGCTGGTTGGCTTTGGCAAGCTGTTTGGCCTTCAGGTCCGCCTTGGCCTTTTGCTTGGCCTTCTGTGCGTCAGCCTTCGGGATCATGCCTCGGGGCTGAGTTATGACTCACTTGAGTGGATTGGCCAGACAAAGTTCCAAGTGGTTGCTTGCCACTGAAGTGCACCGTTTTTTGTTTCGCGCCACTGTATGATGCCCGAAACTGATTCTGGGGCTGAGGGACACCAATAACTAATGGAGTGCAACCACAAATCACATATTTTTATACCTCAATGTGAAGTTGGAACCCTCTGGCAATGCCCACTCTTCCCAAACATATTGGGGCCTCACTCAGTTGATTCCTAGGACATTGGGCGACCCCTTCAACGGCGCCGCTGGAGTCGACGGAAATACTATCAAGAGCCGCAAGAGACCTTTGAGCTGGGTGCACCATGTGCACCCTAACTCCCTGAATGTTTGGGCCAAGGTAATCAGTAAGTGTTGCCACTTGGGCTACAAGACACCACCAATAGAGTTGACTCTCCTTTGGTCGACTGTCCGGGACTTCGTTGGTTCTCACCTCAACTCACTTGCCCAAAGGACCCAGAAACAAAAGGTTAACCTTTTGGCACCTTTACTAAAGATGGACCAAAATGGGGAAACCAAAAGGTCAAAAGGTTAACTTTAACCAACTGAGTCAATATGCCAACGACTTGGCTGAACGCCCCCAGTCCTCTAACCCACACCAAAGCCCCACACCAACTGACCGCCCCCCCCCCCCGCGGCTGCACCCCGAGAAGCCCTCCATGGTCCGTCGGAACTTCCGGCGCTCCGCGGCAGTCATCTTGTCGATATCGATGACGAAGTCCTCGGTGCCGTCGAACTTCTTCACCAGCTCGTCCTCCTGGTCGGAGTCCAGCATGTCCTCAAGGACAAGCATGGCGCGTCCGAATGGATGCGTTTTTGCTTCCGGTTTCTCCTGCCAACCTGACAATCATACCCTCAAAAAGACCCGCCATGGCCGAAGGCGCGGCTCAAAATGGGAGTGCTCTTCCTGCTGGTTTCCCCAACCAAGCTGAGAAAGGCGTTCTCACACAGGCACACCCTCATGGCAGAAAAGCGGGGGAAAGGGGAGGAAATAGGACCAGCCCGTCAATTGTTTGGGGTCCAGCCGCGATTCCACACCTCCGAGGAGAAACCCAAAGGGCAAACAAGAAAAAAAGAGATGGGCAACAGGGGGGCTAAACAAGGGATGCCCTTGGAAAGAGCATTCAATCAGGTGGGCGCGTCTCTTTTGGAGTTGGTACTCTCTTTGGGGTCGTGCCATAAAGGAGCCGCGAGGAAAACAACTCTTTGGGATGGATAACCAAAGAGGCAAAGAAAACATATATACATACATATACACATCACCACCACCCCACCCTGCATGCTGGCGGGCTCCGAAACATGGCTTTTGGGCCGAGGTTCTTGGCCCCCATTTCCTCCTTTTGCATCTGGCAAGTCACGCCGGTGGGAAAACGGCTGCGACCTTGGCCCTTGGGAGATCAATCGGGTTGCACCCGGACCACAATAGATGACACCCACTTTTCAACAGGTTTCCGTGCTCCCCTTTCAAGGTCACCATCAGGAAGCTCACTTCACGCTTTTGGCCGCAAGGTGCTCAGAGGCCCTGCGATTCGAATCAGCCGGCCGGGTGCCCCTTTCGCCGGGTGCGGCCAAGCGTCCACCAGGCTCTCCAAGTACGCTCGCTCTTCCTCCGGCACCTCCTTCACCTGCAGAGTTGGTTGCAGCATGTTTCGAACTATAGGGAGACTAACTGAGGATTTAAGCGCGGGAATGTCGTTGCAATTGTACAATACCTTTCTTGTGGAAGCCAACCACCTTGGAGGGGCTCAGAACCCTCCCCATTTTCTCATGCAGGATCCCAAGAACCAACCATGGGTGACCGTGCAAAGGTTCTCAACGCGGCTTCTCCGCCTTCGCCTGCCCTCCGGCTTCGCCCTTCTCGGCCTTCTGCCGCTTGCCACGATCCTCGGACTCTTCCTGGGGCGAAGGGCGTGTCTCTGGGGGGGTGGGACCCGTTTGGACCTGTAAGAAGTGGCCATATCTCGCGGAAACTCAGCTGCCGCTTGTTTTTGGTTGGCATGGAAGCCCCTAAGCTTCGTCTGACTTTGACTCCACATGAGGGATGTTGTTGGAACTTACAAGTAGCGGTCGTCGCCCAAGACTCTCCTTCAAGCATGGCGTGATCTGGGCGTGTGTGGCATTTGCGAAAGCTGGGGCCCTGCTGGGCTGATGAAGAGGAAACCACACCAAAAGGAACCATCAGAAGGGATCCAGCCTGTTTGCACGCAAGTCGCAACCATCCCCACCCCAAAGTGGCAGAAACAGAAGTGCCCACCCTCCATAAGTATGACATTCCTCAAAGCCAAAATTGGGGAAGAAATCCGTCGCTTTGTTGGGGTACGGTGCGCCCCCGCCCTCATGTCATACATTTCATGGGCTTAAATTCACAACCGCCCAAGTTTTCGGGTGGTCGTTTTTGACTGTATCTGTGTGAACGAAAAACTTAAGGGAATTCCGTTTCACCACCTTCTTCTTCCATTTGGTTAAGACCCCTGGAAAAAATAAGAATATATCCAGTAGTGATAGATTCCCAAAACCAACAGGGGGCAATAAAACACATTCTTAAATGGAAGTCTTGTGAGCTTTGTGGCCTGCTTCAACCGGTACCCGCTCCTCAGCCTCCCGTGCACGCTTTGTCGAGGCCGGCTCAGGCTTCTCCTTAGCCTTGGGCTTGGCCTGCAGGGTCTGCCCAAACGCATGCCCGGAAAGACATGGGTGCGGCGCGAATGCAAGTTGAAAGGTGGTCCTAGGGTTTTGTGCCGTGGTGCTTTACTTGCAATGCTCAGGGCTTCCACCGTACCAGCGTGCGAGAAGATATGCTTAACAGATGGGAAACCCACAAAAGAAGGTCTTTGAATCATCGGTGGCTTGAGAAGATGTTTAAACAAGGATTCGAGCGCAACCTGGTGGTTGAAAGCTCTCCAAATGCAAAGAAAACGATACTCTGTAAAATGGGGTTGCACTTCCCCCGTTAATTGCATTGGCAAGTCAATTTGTTTGGGGTTGATACTGTGGATGTACGAAACCCCGCACCATCTACGAAATCCTGGCCAGTTTTGTGGGAAACCATTGGTGAGTGGACTTTCAAACTGTGGTTGAAGCCATTGCTTGTTGCGCCATTTGCAGGGCCCATTGACTCAGACACCAGGAATTCTTAGGTGCTGCAAAATGGATTCAGTCCATCCACAGTATGACTACACAAGCAAACAACCTACCCGCTGGGGAGGGATTTTGTCCATCCACGGTATCTCATGAGCATCTGTCCTGAGCTCTACACGCATCAAGCAGCCACCCACTCATCTCTACTCTTGGTATGGCAGCGAAAAACTGACTGTTTTTTTTGCAGACCAGTAAACATGAACAGAAACCCCAAAAAAAACAAAAAACATTCCACCCCCAGAAAAAATGAACAGAACCAAAAAACTAAAAAACAACCAAAAAACATGCCACCCCAAGTAAAAATGAACAGAACCCCACCCCAAAACAAAAAAAAAAACCGAGAAACAAAAAACATGCCACCCCCAGTAAAAATGAACAGAAGCAAAAAACTTTGTTTTTTTTTAAAAAAAAAAAGAAAAAGAAACAAACACATGCCAAGAACAGTGATGTAAAGCAGCCACCCACTGAAGGAAGCCACAGCCCACACTCATTTGAAGCCTTCGGCTTTGGCTTCGCCTGCTGCATGTCGCGGGTCTTGGCCTTGGCCTCACGCGGAGACAAATTTCTGCAGGAAATAAAAACCAAAGACCCCCAGGGTCTGGGCAATGCGTCGAACGCCCCACAACAAGTCGGGCAAAGATTTGTTTTTCTTTCAGAACGCCTTTTTGTTTTTTTCCTCTACCTAGTTTAACAGATTCTTTGAATCTGGCGTGCGACATGCGTAGATGTTTCGCTTGTTACTCGCTATGACATCTGTGTGTTCATTCTGTGACGTGTCTTTCCCATTGCAATCGCGGCATCGGTCCCCTGAACATGGTCTCCTGCTCTTGGCGCCCCACTAAGATGTGAAGACTCTCGGTGGCCAATATTCAGTGAATCTCAAGCAATATGAGGTCAAAACAGGGTCCTGGCAAAGGCTCTCAAGAAAATTGAGGATCTGAGGAATGGTTTTGGCAGGATCTGCTCCTCAAACCTTTCCGAGCTCCATCTATTTTCCAGCAAACTGACCCAAAGGACGCCTAAAGCGGTTCTTGGGTCTAAGAACCTTTCTGTGTGGATAGGGCCGTGGATAGAGCAGGGCTCCGGCTGAACTAGGTATGCACCAAGGGGCATGATTGAAGCCTCACAAAGACTTAGCAAACATGTCCCAAGCATATCTTTATGAAAAACTCGATGGCACTGGCCTAAATGATGAGAACCAAAGCAAAACCGGCTCCATGCCCATGTTCAAACAACCTAAGCTAAACAGGACACCTCTGGTCAAAAGGGATGCCCTCCCACCAGTCAACATGGAAGCTGACAGGGGGTCCTGGAAGACCACCTTTCTTTTAAAGGGACCATTTCCCTGTCAGGTTCCATGTGAAAAGGTTGGGAGGGTAAAGGGCGAAGCCATCGCGTTCCTTTTCATCACACTTCCAGAACCTCTTCTCAACATCTACCAGAATCCAAGGGTCGACTGGGTTTGGGCGATCCGACTTTGTGCCATTGAGCTCCTATAGTGGGGCTGATTGCAGGAGGAAGCCAGCGTGCGGTTCACTTGACGGCAGCGGCCTTCGGGGCGCTCTTCGCCTTCAATTCCCTTGAAAAGCCCGCCGGACTTTTTCCCTCCTCGAGTGAGTGGCACGAGAGGCGGCAGACCTTTACCCTCCCTCCCACTAACATAGCAACTGCTAGAGGGCACCTGGAAGATCATTTTCCTCTTCAAGGGGTCCCCTGTCAAGTGCCATGTTAGCGGGAGGGAGGGGCGAACTGAGGTGCCAAGAAAAGACATATCTTACCCTGGGTGGTCAGCGAATCCCCATCCTTGAAGGCTCCAGCGATGGGCCAAAGCAGAATTCTTGCGCGCATTGAAAAGCCCTTCGGCCGAACCTTGAGGCAAACCAGCGAGATAGAAAGCCTGTTTACATCATAAGGCTCTCTGTGCATGAGTTGACTTCTGCATTCCGAATGGCACATCTGACTGGTTCCTGCAAACCCTCAGTCACTCATTTGCTCGTTGTGGCGGAATGGTCATGCATTTCCTGCTCTTTTGCTCGCGTGCCTACTCCGGTCGCTGCATTGTGGCTCGGATTGCGCAAACGCGGGCCGGTTGCCAGATCGAAAGCCTGTTTACATCAGAAGGCTCTCAGTGCATAAAAGGAGTTGGCCCATTTCAGACCCCTCCACAGGTGGGCACAACTCCATCTATCTCTTCAACGACTCCAAACACATCCCCGGCAAGCAACTTTGCCTGGTCCCAACAACCCAAAAAACATGACCCGACAAAAAGACATTTTTCTTTGTCACTAATGGTCCAAGCCAAAAACATGATTCAAATCCAGGACTTCCATTTGCATAAGCCCCCTGGACAAACATAAGAACGCATTTCCGTTAGTGAAATCGATTCCCTTCAAAACCAAGAGGAGAAAACAACACATATCCATTTCAGCAAATGGAAGCGACCTCCTTGGTCGACCTCACATCCTTATGGCGGTCCTTCAGGGCCCAGTTGGCGGTGAGGCCCAGGTCTTGCAGTGCCTGCAAGACCGCTTGGGCCTCCTCCGGGCTGAGCATCAGCTGGCCCTTTCGGCAGCCCTGCGCTTCCGGCTCGGGACAGTCACTGCATTTGCACAGTTGCAAGTTGCAGGTGCGACAAGTCTCAAGGGACATGAAGGAATTCCTGCCAAATGGAAAAGCCCGTTTAGAAATGGGAGAAAGGTTGTTTAGAAATGGGAGAAAGGTTGTTTAGAAATGGGAGAAAGGTTCTGGATAAAGCCGATGGTCCACCAGTCGCTTGGCAGGCGAACGAAGCCCTGCAACCTGCAACCTGCCTCGTAGTTGGCCGCTGTCATCTTCGGATGGCGCACGGGGCGCGCCATTGCGATAGCCGCGAGGCAGTTGAAATCAACTGAATGCCCGGCCGGGGGCCTCTCGCTAGTTCCATATCCGATGTAAAGCCTGAAGTTCACACCCCGGACATCTACCCTTTACATACCATGGGACATGATGGAGCCCTTGGTCCACAAATGCCTCTTTATATCATGGCAACATGCAGGGTACCCATGTGTACCGCTCACCCTGGGAAAGAACGGAACGTTGTTAAGCCTCTGGGTGAGGGAATGCTGAACAAGCCTCGTTGAATCTAAAGCTCAATTCCCACAACACAAATTTGGACTCGAGCCGTGAAAGGCTGCCAATTCAGCAGGAAGCCTTTTTCTTACCGAGGATACAGGGTCCAGTGGCCCGCACTTACATTTCTCAGGACCTTTGCTAAAAATGGACCCAACAAAAGGAACACCAAAAGGTCAAAAGGTCGGCTTTTGAACAACTGATCACATTCACAATGGTCGCAACGTATCTTTCCCATAGGAGTGGGATCTAACGGCTACCAGCGTTGCAACCGGCCTTCCTGGATTCCAGATAAAAGACCAAGTGACAAGCTTGTGCCCTTGAGTCTCTGGAGCGAAAGGGCCCGCCTTGCCGGCACCCTTGGGTGGCAACTCCCGCCAGTGATGGTCGCCGGCAAACATAGCTCATAGATCATGGGCATGGAACTTTAGAGGTCCTACAAGCTTCCATGTTAGCTTGGGGAAGCGTATATATATATATGTGTATATATGTAGATATGTTCAAGATTCAATGCGCACGGAAAGTCAAACAATCAATTTGGCCAGTCCCGTACTTCCAGGACACACTCAAAAGCATGTATATACATATATACATACATTGAAGATCGCACCAAGCATCACCAAGCTTCAGGCTCGTACGATGGCAATGCAGCTAATGGGCTAAGGGCTTGCGAAACTCGTCCCGAGTGTCTGGCACGAAGTGGCCGGCACGCTTGCTTCTGACCTGGGCATAAAGGTCACACGCTGGAGTCTGGAGGGATAAGCCACCAACAGGTGCAGGATTCCATCCGCAGTGCTTGGCGCACACAGGGATTCCCATCCCCAGTTTCGCTTCAAAGGGGCGGGACTCGGAGGGACCTGGATGGACGAAATCCATTTCGCAGCACTTGAAATCCATGGGAAACCGGTGTTGTTGGCAGTTGCAGGGGAATTTTCCTTTCAGGGTTTGCTAGGTGGTGCGAAACGGATTTCGTCCATCCACAGTATCAGTGGTACTTTTTATGGGAGTTCCTGGAAGCCGCTCAAGAGGTGTCTCTCGTTGTTTGGGAAATTACCTCTTGGGCGTTAGCTTAATGTGAAACCGAAGGAAACACAGACATCTTCAGGTTTCCCCTTTGGCACAAGCAAAGGCTGAGGCTGGCAATGACAAGCATTTGGACACTCGTTGCTCACCTTCGAGCTGCCGATCCTTTCTACGTAGTCTTCGCAGGGTTCCTTGAAGTATCCGAAAATGGTTGAACTGTTGGGGAGTTGGGAGGAACGAAACAAAGGTTCAACAAATGGGCGCCCATCCAGGTTCCTTACAAGAACGACTCTGCATCACTAAGGGAAGGCATCTTCAAGGATTGTGTCCTTGAAAGTGGCAACTTTCAAGCCCTTACCCTCCCTCCAATGCAAGCTGACAAGGATGTGCGGGACTGTCCAAAGCCAGGGAGGCTTCATGTGGGGTTCCCCTTCAACAACTCAAGCTTCCTGAGTTGTTCTTTGTGTTTAAAGTGATTCAACTTGCGGAGCCTTCAACAACCAGAAGGGTTGGCAAGTACAAAGCTTGTCTTGACCATTCAGGCCTTTCCAAACACTGGCCTCATTATTCATCAAAGTCACCCCCGTTGAGTGCTGGGGAGAAGGAAACAAGCCCATGTTCTGACTTTGGTAACCCCCAGAAACCGTCATAAAATCATGACACCAGAAAAAGGTAAGTCCAAACACGTCAATTGTGCAGCCAGGCCAAGAGGTGGAAACTCACAGGGGCCTAAGACCTGGGTCTGGGGATAGGGCTTCCAACCAAAAACCGGATCTGCAGCCGCAAAAATAGGAATCTGCCCAACATGGTGTTGCGCCCCTGGAAAAGTCGAACACCTGCGGTCCATATCCTGGCTCCGAAAAAGAAGAACCCTTTGAGCCACACCCTCTTGATCGCCAAATGGGCTTCCTCGTTTCTACCGTCACCAAGCCAGTGGTAACAAACAAATTCTCTGAAACTCACTTCCCGAGTGGATTGGCCAAACAAAAAGAGCCAAACGTTTTGCTTATCACCAAAATGGTCCAAACCCAAGCGACTCAAGTCCAACTCGGGGACGGAGATAACCGGGTTCCACCCGAGACCTGAGATCTCGCGCCAGTAATGCCCCAAAGGCTTCAATCAACGCCTGCCGACTGCGCGTGGTGCTCAGGGATTTGCGTGTATATGAATTTATTGCTGGTGCTACTGTGGGTTTCTCAAGATGAATGAATAGATTTCCAACAGAAACCAACCGCACCCAAATTAAGTCAAGAAATATGCCAGGGTCCCCTATTTGTACACACCCTATACATTACCTAGGGCCAACGTGCATACTCTGAATGGACATACACCATCTAGAGGCCTTACATAGAGACAGATTTTGGGGTATGTACCCTGTATAGCCTATGTTGTTATCCACCAATGTTAGGGTATGTTCATTTGGGGCAACCGCAGGTTGGCGCTTAGATACTGCAGATGGACGAACTCCTGCACCAGCTACTGGTCCCTGGATTGAGGATTCCCCTGTAAATACCAACCAACAATGGTTTCCCATTCAGTCAAAGCGGTGCGAACGGATTTCGTCCATCCAACTCTTTCTGCAACAAATATATAGTGGTTACAGTCTCCATTCTAGTTTAAAGTAGCACATTGAGCAACGGCAAGGGGTTTTGCAAAATTAGACAGTTTATTTTGATAAAGTTTTATATAAAACACATTTGTTGGATTTTTCTTCTTATAAAGGATTGAGCAGAAACGGTCTATCTTCAGAAAGAAGGAGGACGACAAAGTATATTTACATCTCTACTCTTAGTATGGTAGCGAAAAACTGTGTTTTTTGCAGACCCTCAATAAAAATGAACAGAACCAAAAAACTAAAATTTCAAATGCACGAGCACAGACCCCAGATAGCAAAAACTGCACCTGCGCCAGCACCCCACACTGTGTGCTCCCTATTGCAAAAACGCGCATGTGTTTCAGACAGCACCGAGCACCGGCCGTCAATCCCGTAAAAAGCGCAGCATTACCAGCACCACCCCGAACCAAAGCAGCACCTGCCAAACTGAATGCCCTCTAGCACCCGGCCCGTCAGTCTTGCAGAAATGCGCTCGCACAGTCACCGGCATCTCAAAAAAACAAACGCCACAAGCAGCAACCCAAAACAGCACCTGCACCATCACCCCAGACTGCATGCCCCGTAGCACCCTGCCGTCAATCTCGCAAAACTGCGCCCGCACCGACACTAACATCCCCAGAAACAGCCCATGCACCCCAGACTGCATGCCCCCTAGCACCCAGCCATCAATCTCGCAAATCACTTCCCGCTCTTTATGAGAAGTTAGAACCCAGTTAGTTTTCAGCTATCTGGGGAAACACATGCCAAGAACAGTGAAGTTTACATACAGGTGGTGGCATTCGACATGTTGCTATTCGACATGTGATCCTTTGGCAGGCAGCCTCGTGCTTTCAGCGACTGTTGCCTGGACTTCAGCTGCTCGGCTTCCCTTGACCCCCCAAAGAGGAAGCGCAAGCACCATGTGGACAAGTCATAGTTCTTTGCCTCACTTGCCCAAACCAAGAAATAAAAGGTGATCACCTTTTGGGGCCACTAAAACTAGACCAAAAAAGGAGAAACCAAAAAGTAAAAAAAGTCGGCTTTGGGCAGCTGAGTTGCTCCATTTATCAGGGCAACCCATTTTGGGTACCTATTTCTGACCCACAGCCAATTGATGCTTAAGCCACAAAAGCTGAAGTAGAAGGACCCCTGCTGTGATGAACAGCAGGGCCGGAATACCTTCCTTGTGCGCAATGGTCATTACCTCGCATACAAAATGAGAATCCATCAGCCAAGCAACATGGCGATCGACAATCTCAATGTCATGCTAGAAGGGATCCAAATCCAAGGGCCACATCTTAGCCCCTTTGAGCCGTTCAACATGGAGTGTCAAATCCTAATCCAAAACCCCTGAAGAGCCACAAAGAAAGCATCCGTTCAACCCAAAGAAAGGACCTTGCGCAAAAAAATACCCTTGAGCCGCCTAGCTTTCTTTTTCCGGAGTGACAAGGGGCGGCACATCCTCAACTTTCCATGCACATCCCAAGCGCCGGCCTCTGGAACCATCTGGCAGTTCTGAATGTTTTCACCTCACCCATTCGCAAAAACCGCAAACAACCACCCTGGTGGGATTGGTCAAAAACCGGGAACATCTCTGCAGCCCAAGCCAGAGTGCGAAATCACCTTCTGATACCGCGAGCGTTCCGCAAGCGAAACGTGTGCTTGCCGCGCATGTCGCGACTCATCCGCCTGCTGCAAGTCTATAACCGTTGGCAGTTCACCCAACATCTGGCCCCTGACGCGATGACGAGAGAATTGGAAGATCCCTACGGTGCAAAGCTGACTTCGAGGATCACCAGAGCGCTCAGTTAGCAGGCCCGCAGGGCTTTTCAAAGACTCAACCGACCCACGAGGCCGGAACATCCCCTCGAAACCGTTGGAGTGGAATGCTTCCTTGCCCTGCGAGCGATGGAGGGTATTACTGGGGTGGTGGTTTTGAATGGCCCCAGTCTCCAATGCAAATGCGCCGGGTAGATGCATACAAACACATAAACATTTTGCTTGTGAATATATAAAGGTACAATATTCATACATACATATGGTTGTGCGCCCAGTGATCTACTCACTTGCTGAGTGGGACTGGCCAAACAAAAGGCCCCCCAAATTATTTCTGTTAACCACTAAAATGGTCCA